AGTCTTACCTAAAGACCCAGGCTGCGATCTCTATGCTCTTTAACTTTTCAATCATTCATGACAATTTATCTGGCCTTAAGATACTCCAGTGTACCAAATATTTATTTGAAAAAAGCAGAATACAAAATAGTATCACTCAATTATCTATTCCTGTCAAGGTAAAGAGAGACAAAACAATATAAACCAAATGTCCCAGGCACCCTTTCCAGGCAGTGTTGGTTTTCCAGGAACCCTGTCCCACTAGCCCTCCTAGCCCTGGAGCTGGGTAAAGAGCACAACCCCAACCTTGCCCTGTTCCGTACCCTAGTCTCAGCTCACTTCCTCTTGGCCCCACGTTGGGCTGAAACTGCAGAACAGGTCCACCTGGCTTTCATCTGGGCAGCAAACCACAGAAACTTTCCTTTAATATCAAAAGTCCCCCATAGACCAGGTAGCCCTGCCAAGATTAGCTCTCCCTCAGTTGTTCCAGTCCACAAACACCATCCCCACAAAACCCTTTAAAAGCTCTGTGCTTTGCCTTGTTCACTGCTGTCTTGGTCCACTAGACAAGACTCCTACCTCCAATAAATCTTCTGTCAGAATGCCTGGTCTGTTTGATTGCATGGGTTTGTACCTAACATGTTTTTTGAAGGGGGCGCCAATGATATACTGAGTTGAGTAATGGTTGATCATTTCATTAGTTATCCAAGAGAAATGTCAAAAGCTCTCAAACCAGTAACAGAATTATCTATTAGTTTTGGACTTTGTTCCTACTACTTGGTCTGTAATATCTATGACAGTGTTTTGCATATGTTATTTATTTATTGTATTTAGGACAGACTGTACAGTCTCACTGCACAGATTGGACTCATTCTGTTCCTCCTGTTTACAGCCTCCCAAGTACTAGGATTACAGGGGTGCAACAGCCATCTCAAGCACTGTCTCAGTGTGCCCTGGAGGCAGGGACAGAGAGGCAGGCCAGGGGATCAAACTCCTGGCCCCTGTGTCTCCCTAAGCAGGCACTTTAATCTGCTGAGCTATTTGGCCAGCCCTTGCATATTCTTTTAAAAATACAGTATTTTTAAGTGCCTATGGGATTTAACAAATGCTGTATATTGGCATCAAAAAATTCAGCTTTCAAAAGTACAAATCAGCGCATCTTCGAAGACAAGAATGAGCAACACACACACACACACACACACACAAAGAATGAGCAACACAGCAAGAAACAATGAAAAGTTAGCAATTTGAATAGAAATGGAAATTTGTGGGAAATTTTAAAGTATACACTTATAAATAAATAAATAAATGCTAGGTGAAAAAAAATTCCATTCTGAAACTTTACAGCATCTAGAGAGAAACATTATGAACACTTTCAAGATATTTAAAAATCAGATGTTAGGGTCAAATGCTTGTTACCAAGAATGGTAGGAATTAAAAGATAGTAACTAGGAAGAAGCCAAGGTGGGAGGAAAAGAACCCAAAATATAAAAGATTTAGTGAAGAGTGGGATTAATGAAAAACACAAGAAAAAGAAAAGAAACAAAACCTGGAGTGAACTGATAAGACTAATAAAAGATAAAACATGTTGGATCAGACAGGTTAGTATATGAAATTACCCTATGTCAGTAAGAACTAGTTATAACATTACGTCATAAACTATCACTGATAGGGCCGGCAAGATAGCTCAGCAGACTAAGCGTCTACTTAGGCAAACACAGGGACAGGGGCACCACATGCCACAGCAGCTCCACCCCCAGGTGGGCTGAGCCAGCCATTGAGACCAGACTTAGTGACACATACCGAAAATCCCAGCCCTAATGAGTCTGATCTGCATAGTGAGACCCTGTATCAAAATACATAAAAAATTAAAAATATCATTGATAAAAGCAATACTATAAAATTCCTGGAAATAAGATATATACAAAGCTTTAAGATATTTACAAAAAGTAAAACTCAGTCCTTCTGAAGTATGCAGTAGACTTAACCGATGAACTTAACATGTTTATTGAAGAAAAACCACAGAATACAATCGTGCTGCAATTAAGCTTTCAACTTAGTACAGCAACCATAAACATCCCCAAGCTTTTTCTAGATGAAATTTTTTGATATGCAGAGGATATAAATACTAATCAACTCTGACAATACATAGTATTTAGATATCCAAGTGTATAATAAGGCTATTTCTGTCAGGTTAACAACTGAAAGAATTGTAAGAAATGTGTTAATTTCATTGTTGTGTACCTATGCAAATGCACTTATGCACATAGGTGGCAGAGCCTTCCTTACACCTAGGCCATCTGGTAAAGCTGCCATCAGGAATGTGGTCAGTCACTGGCTGAAACATAAGCACAGGACTCTATTAGCTCTTTGTGTTACGTACGAAATGACCACAAACTGTAGGCTTAAAACAATACTCACTGTGGTTCAAAGTATTGTCAGTCAGAAGTCTAACAAGGTTGGGGATGGATTCTCTGCCTGGGATTTTGTAAGACTGACATTGGGGTGTTAACTAAATTCTTACCTGGAGGATCTGGGGGGAAAAAAAAATCTTCATGTGTCACTCTTGTAACTGGCAGGACTTCCTTGTACCTAGTACCATTTTATTGTTTGCCATGCATAGCTCTTTGCTTTATCAGGCCCATGCCACACGGCCCTTTCCATCCCATTACATCTTCCCTTCTACTATTTTTCCTCCTGTTTCAAAATTCTCTCAGTTCCTCTTCTGCCATTAGCTGTAGAAAACTTTCTCATCTTAAAGAGCTCTGCATGATTGGAGCTGCGTCCACCTGGATCGCTCCCTTTGGACCCAGGTGACCTAATGTTGTCAGAGGGAAAATTTGTCTCTTTAGTTATGAAGATCGGGATGATGAATCTCACGGGCTATCCCTTCTTTATTCAAAGTGGCAAGTTCTTTTAATATGAAACAATACAGCAGAAGCATCACCTGAAGCAAAATAAAAATCTGCTTTTTTTGGTAAGTTGCAATGTAATTTCCTATAGCTACCATAAGTTTGCTATCTTTCTTGGTGTGTATGGAATGGGGTCAGAATTATTCCACTTAACATTAATGTCCCGTATTACCCAATAATCTCAATTATAAAATCTGAAGTGAACATACTGGTATTTAACTACATTGTATCTCAGCAATGTATTTTGATTCAACCTTTTTCAACAATTTTGTTCTACACAGAACTTTCCAAAGAAAATGTGAACCCTTCTGTAATCTAACTTTTGTAGAAAAATAAACTGAAAACAGGCTGTAGTTAATATATTACTTAACCCACCCTACAAAAAGTTATGACTTCACTAGTATAAGAAATGTATTTGGTTGTTACAGGGTCTCAATACGCAGTTGAGACTCACAGTGATCCTCCTGCTTTCAGCCTCCCCTGTACTGGGATTATAGGCGTGTACCACTATGCCCAAACTCTGCCTGGCTCAGCCAGCCCTGGCATGGCACATGCTGCTGGGATTGAACCATGGTCCCTGTGTTTGCCTAAGCTTGTGTAAGCAGCGGCTTTAGTCTACTGAGTTATCTCACCGGCCCCTAGTTTACTTTTTTGTACATCTTGAAAACCATGTATCTTATACTAACAACACATACCATTCTGGACAAAACATTTCAAAAACTCAACAGTCACATAATTCTGAACTGCAACAAAAGACACTGGCTTGCATATATCCAGTATCTGGCACACCTACTTATAGATAAATGTGAACTGTCCACCACTTTCAGTCTTCATCATATCTTTACAGATTAAATGAAGTACATGATTAGCAGAATTTGCTTGTTACCAAACATTAAACAGTGAAACATTAAACTAGTGCTATGTCTGGTACTAGATGTAATAGCAACAGAAGTGATGATCATTCATATATCTGTAAACACTAAGATAACAAGAGCAATTCATCATAGCATTTGTCACAATTACTAATTTTCTGTATATCCATGTTTATACTGCATATATATGTATACATACATAGACACACACACACACATGCTTCTCCTCTAATATTATACTCCATAAAGGACACTACAACTACCTTTTCTTCTGTTATGAATCTGTGGCTCAATAAGGTAAAAAATCTATTAAATACATGGCCATGTATTATGACTTCATTACTGTTTTTCAATTAGTAATAATACATTCCCACTTTACACATTTTCTCGGAGAGCAGTAATGACTGTCTTCTTCTCAAATACTTTCTAGTAGCTTACCTCAACCATTAAAAAGTTATAACATCCAGGTATGACAGCATACACCTGTAACCCCAGCACTCTGAGAAGTTAAGGCAAAAGGATCAGAAGTTTAAGCGCTACCTGGATAACACAGCAAGACCATGAATGTTTCCCCAACCCCACGTCAAAAAAAGACAGGTTCAGGGATGCAGCTCAGTGCAAAGGCCTGTGTTAAATCCTCAGCATCACTACAAAACAAAAATTTCTCATGTTTGAAAACTCTCTCATATCCTCTTCTACCATCAGCTGCAGAAAATTTTCAATTTAAGAGATCCGAAGAACTTAACATGTTTGATGAGGAAAACTACAGATTAGAACTGCAATTAAGCTTTCAACTTAGTATAGCTTCCATAAAACCCAAGCTTTTTCTAGATGAAATCTCTTTTTATTGTTCTTTCTGTATTATTTATCTGTTACTTGTCAGTAGCCCATAGATATATCAGTAGGGCAAAGGATAACAGGAAGGAATATGTGAAATTTATATAACACAACAAAATCAGAATGAATGAGGCACAAATGAATACAAGAACATTTAAATTTCTCTCTCAAGAATTCAAACACACAAACATGGAAGTATACAACAGTGAATGCTGTTTCTCACTAGACATTCAACAGTGGCACAGGACTAAAAAGCTCCAGAGACTCGAGGCTCCTTTGGCAATCTATTTTATGTTAAAACAACAGAAACACATGATAAAGGAAAACTACAACTTGAAAAATGTCTTGAATTAAACAATTATGTCTGACTAAAGACATTACGGGGGGGGAGGGGACTTATTCCATAAAGTCCTTTTGCTAATGTTGAGGGTGTAACATCTAGAAAAATAACAAACAATGAGAGCAGCATTTCTTCTCTAAACACAATAAAATGGTATTTTTGATATCAGTATTAACGCAACTACTTTATCATCAGTTTTGTGATTTTAGTACAAAAAAATCATTAAAAATCATTAAAATAATTGTTCTATCACTTATTTCCTATTTCATAAACTATTGGCACACTTAAGTATTTCATATTATCCAAAACAATTATCTTTTATGTATAAATCTTGGCAAATGCTATATTTAAAGAGTCCTAAAGAAAATTACTTCTTCCTTTTCTTCGTAGGTGAGCATTCCACAGCTGGGGAGAATTCAGCCTCTTCACTGTGTTTTCTTTTCTTTTTTTTCTTTTTATGGTCACTTTGGTAACCACTGGAGTCACTACCTTGGCAAACAGGGTCCTGATCCTGATCCTGCTGTTGCTTTTTCTTTTTCTTCTTCTTCTTCTTCGGCTCTTCCTCACAGAGTTCATTCACATTATTACTAGTCTGCAAGTCCACCTCTTCCTTTGGAGTCACATCTACTAAGTCTCCTAACTCTGTGGCACTAATATCCACCTCATCTGTTTCTGGAGCTTTCTTCTTTTTCTTTTTCTTCTTTGGAAGTTTTTCAACAGCTCCCTCTGTGACAGTTTCTGCTCCTTCAGAAATTTTAAAGCACTTGGGTTGTAAACTGAAAAAAAAAAGTTGTATTAACAGAAATAAGAAAAAAATGTAACAAAATGAGATGTATATATCAATAGAGATTTTCTAAATGACAAAAGTGTAAGATACATAACAATGACACAAATTTCACATATTCTATCCTATTATCCCTCCCTCTATTGCTATGTTTATGGGCTACATTACTATTATTATTATTATTATTTGTGTGTGTGTGTGTGTGTGTGTGTGTGTGTGTGGAACCAGGGATTAAATGTTAAGTTCTGCTTCCCCACTATTTCTCCAGAGGTCAAAACATAATTTCTAAGTTTTGGTTTGTTTCAGAGAAATTTTGTCACTGAAAATTAAATTTAGGCCTCTATCCCAAACAAGGAACACTAGATAAAGAAGAAACGTAATTTCTGTATATATCAAAGCAGTGGAATTTCTTGTATACTAGTTCAATCCTTCTTTCAAATATGATGAACTAACCTATTGATATTTAGTTTTCCACGAATGCAAAATACTCCAGCAGCATCTGAGTCTAAACGAAATACTTCAAACTCCAGTTCATCACCCACGTTTATCTCCACAGTGTGCCACTGCTCAGCTGACATCTGCTCAGGCTTAGGAATGGAGGCGTTAAAACATCCATGCACAAGACAGCCAATGTGGCTAGAAGATACTTTATTCACTATACCCTGGGAAAAAGAACAGAACACCAAGAGAAATCCAAATAATTAAAAGGGAAGTAAAACTTGGTAAAATTCAGACTGATCTTTATAGTGATTACATCCAATGGTATTATTTAATATAGAAAAAGTTTAACTCAATTATAACTTAGCACATGCTATATCAAAACAAAATGGGCATAATGTAGAATTTATAGAAAGCTCAAACTTTATTAAGTAATTTAAAGTCAATTATTTAACCAGATAAACAATACCTAATGAACTAAGCCAGCCTGGTTCAAACAAGACTGCCTCAAACAAAGAAACAAAATAAAGAGCTATTCCCCTCTAGAAGGATTTCCTTGGAACTAGATTACTCTATAACCACAGTAAAACCAAGCAAGAAATACTATAATACAACCTACATGTAAAAAGACCTCAAGGTAAAAAGCATGTGCTTTTCTTTTCTTTCTTTCTTTTTTTTTTTTTTTTTGAGGTACCAGGGATTGAATTCAGGACCCTGAGCTTGCCAGGCAGGCGCTTATTCTACTGACTTATCTCCCTGGCCCAAAAGCATGTGCTTTTCAGTACTGGGACACACATTATATTTCTGGATCCAGATTTTATTTTAAAGCTCAGAAATATATTCTTTAATGACTCAATTTAGCATTATATAAGCAGTCCTATGAGCAGACAGTTTACCCTCTATATATAAACTTTGAAGATAGCCTTCTGGCTAAATCACAAAACAATGAAATCAAAGTGTGTTTTACATGATTTTTAGACACAGGACAATGGAATAGCAATAGAAACGAAATACACTGGTACTTGTCAACTGGCCCCAAAAGTAGACCTCCCCTACCC